ATATAATTAATAAAAAATATTTATTTAGTCAATTAATAAATAATATTTATTTAGTTTTAATTAAAATGTCATAGCTTTTGAATAAATAGAATATTAAATTGTAATTTTATAAAATTTGACATATTCCAGTCTTAATTAAGTAGCTATTATTATTTAAAAAAAAATATAAATTAAGATAAATTTCAGCCTTATATAACGTGAAATATATATTTAAATAAGAAAATTAAATCAAAATAAATACACAAAAGAATATATCTCAGGATTAACAGTACTTTCAAAAAGTTATATTTACTCTAAGGAGAAATAAATCCCAGAAATTGCACAATATTCGATCAAGTTTTCTCTAACATAAAATCATATTGATTGGATAAGATAAGAGATTTAAGAATAAAATATAAATGAATTATGGAACTCAAAAACTATTTATTAATATTTTACGATACATGTTTAATTAGAATATGATTTTGTTTCTCTGACGAACTTTTAAAAATATTTAAGAATAAGTGGGGCTAGTTTTCATCAAGTCAAAATAGGAAAAAAAGAAAATTTCAAAATTAATAGGGAAAGCAAGTTGTTAAGTTATTATCTATCATTACTTTCAATAATGAAATAAAATGTTTCATTGTTATTTTTTGATGATACCACATATACTCATCATTCTATAAATCCAAAGTGTAGGTAACTTAAAGGGGAGAAAAAATATAGACGTATTTTACAAATGTAGAAATCCCTACATGCTATTGGTTGTGAATGGTAAAATGGTTTTAGGTATTTTTAAATTTGTAAGGGAATAGTTAATTAATACATTTTTGCTTAATTTTTAGAATAATTGCTGAAAGCTGCTTAAAAATTTTATTAATATATGACATATGTCTAAATTATGGATTTTAACCAAGTTAATGTCTAAAATTAAATTATTTAAATTATTTTTGTTAATAGTTAGATAGAAATATATATATAGCTATAATTCTTGTCGATAGAAATGATATTGCCTGCTTTGATTATATATTTATTCGTAAGATTACCTGGTAATTTATAGAGAAAGTTTTATTTTCAATCAAATATTCCAGATCTAGTATTACTAATCATATTTGTAAAATTTCAAACTATTATTTTAATATTAATTAATAGTTTTTCTTTTAGCTATATGATAATCATTTTTGTTTCTAACAAATAACAATTGATAAAAATAGAATAATATTTTGTATTAATTTTTATATTTAGTGTTTAACATTAGTGTTATTACTTTGAGTTATAGTTTAAATGATCCACGATTATTATTTATATATATTTATAATTTTGTAATTGTAAAATAGAACAATTAAATTTGTTTATTATTAAAAATTCTAATTAAATCTAGTATAATTATTTTTTTATATTCTGAAGAATGCATATATTTTATTATTTATAATTAAAAATAGAAATTATATTAAATAAATATATATTGTAATTCATTATAAAACATAATATAAGCTAAGTTGAGGTTGTCATCTAAGAAAAAACAGTAGCAAATCAATAAGATTTTACGAATAAGTAACCATATATATTTCATTGCATAATTAATTGATGTTTATTAAACATTTTCCTGAAACGATAATAATGAAATTGATTGCAGATTAAAGTATTCATCGTAGCTCTTAAGTAAATTAAGACATTTAAGCATATGATGAAATAATTAATAAATATCCATTATTGATTTAATGTTAATAAATATTAATATAAATAAATTAATATATGATTTGTCTGATGCTGTTGATTTACTTTATGTTGTTAAAGGTATAGTAAACGATTTTCTTAACTTAAAATGAAAATTATAAACTTTAAGAAAATCAATCATTTTAGAAATAAACAACACCTCAGACTTTAACAATTTGTAAAATATAAAAATTTTCTGATGAAATCAAAAGATTATCCTAAGAGATGATTCAAAGTATTATAATTATACATTCATCGATCCTGTAAAAGATATTATTACCTTTACAACACATGATAAGAATCACATATACATTTGTCTAATTAAAAACAATTAAATAGAATGCAGCCTTAAAATACTAAATGTAATAGTCAATGATCAATTAATGGTTTATTAGAATAAGTTTAAACTTTTAATTAACTAATTGTTATAATATCCATCATTTTATTGAAAATTTATTTGTTTTATAATGTAAAAGAGAAAATGGATTATAATTGGTGCTTATTTACTATTATGACATTATTTTAAATACTATAACAACCAATTAGTAATACAATTAAACCCTTAATAGTCTTATAACATAAAATTAATTAATCTTATATGAAAATGAAGACTATATTTTTTATTTCTACTTTATTTAATGCCATAATTAAAAATTGCATTACAGGTAATAGATATTAGATTTAAAACTTTTCTAATATATTGGTAACATATAAACCTTATAATTACAAAAGACAATTAAATTATTAGGATTTATTATAAATACGCAATTTTTGATTGTGATATTTTATCATTTGATATTCTCATAGTAAAAGATTATTATTAATATATTCTGATATCAAAACATCTTACTTATTTAATTACGAGATTGCATTGATATTGAAATTGATTAAACTCACGAATAAGTAAATAAATTAATAATTTTCTTTAATTCAATTGTATAATCAATTTGTTCATATATAAAATTTTCATCAATTTTTATATGATAATTTAACAATATACAATTTAATTATCCTTATTATTATTTAAATTCCTATTTTTTCATTAAAATTTATAGATAAGAAATTAATTTATATAGTATGTTTTCTTATTACCTTAGAATTATCTGTAATGAAATAGTTGAATTTGTATCAGTAGTAATTAATAAATGATTACTAATATTTGAGTTAATTGATAATAAAATTTAGATTAAACTTTAATTGAATAGGTTAGGTTAAATTAATTTTTTATTTTATTTACCTTTATATGAATTTCAAATTTTGTATCCTCTGGAGTATAGGATAGAGAAATCCCAAACTGCAATTGTTGCAAACTATATGATTATTAAGAATTTGTGTGATTTATGACATAAAAAATCAAGTTGCAAATTTTTTAGTCAAAGTCAAAAGAATTGATAACAAGAATTATTATTTTAACTTCTTATCAGAATTTCAAATTGTTGTTGTATTTTAATAATAATTAATAATTTTTGTTTCTATCCTGCCTTGAATTATAATTTTCGAACTAACATTTAAATTTGATAATCTTATTAGTGAGAAGGATTTATTTTTCTAAATCATTTCTGATATATATCATTAATCCTAATAAATTTAATTAAAGGTCATTTCAATTAATATGAACTACAAAATCTAAATCTAAGATGTGATGATTCCATTTCAATAATAAATTAATTAATAATTTTAAATAAAGTCTTTCAATAATTAAAATATATATGGCAACATAGATTTTATGATAAAAATTAGTGAGAAAATAACACTCAAAGATTAGAACCTATGTAAATCAACTATGCTTATAGTTGCAGTAGATAGTTTAAGTATCTAAGAAAACAAAGATAAATAGGGATCAATTATAATTAAATGTAAATTTGATTTGTCTAAAAGGATTTTTTTAATTTATTTTTTCACAAAAGTAATTCTAGAGATTAACACTACCACTGTTATTTTCTTAATAAATCATTATATTATATGTTATTCTTTTTTAGAAGAAAACAAAAACATTATTTTATGTGCAATTTTAATGGATGATTTACTCAATATCTAAAATTAGATTTAAATCCAATTGACAGAAATTATTAAAGATTATAACTTTGTTATCTTTTAATAATTAATAAAGCTGTAATTTATAGAATATAATCTAAATGTAATGATTTTGAGTGCCGATTCAGTTTTTTTGCTTTACAATTTTAAGTTGTATTAGATTAAATCTGGATGTAGACTTTTAATTAAAAATAATCAAAAGTTAAATTAATAAGTAAATAAAATTTCCTAAAAATACTCTATGCTATTTTAATTGTTTTTAAGGTAATTAATAATATTTAATTTTAACTTTATTTAAGGATAATAATAGAGTTTCATATTTTTATAATTTAACTTAGAAAATACTTCTACACAGTTATTATTAATATTCTGTTCAGAATGTCTACTTTTAATGAGGTGAATTTATTCTATCTAAGTTGATATCAAATATAATGTTAAGATTAATTTTAAACAAATGTTGAAATAATTTAAATATATAATTAAATATCTAATTTAGATTTAGAGTTTAATCCAAATTAAGAATAATATTTATTAACGAACAACTCAAAAAATTAAACATAGATCATCATATGTCTAAATAATTTTATACTATTACTTTCATTTCTAATGTATCGCAAAAAAACGTCATAATCAATTGAAATGAAATTTTTTTTTATTTTATTAAAATTATGCTTAATATTTTATTAAATTTTCTGATTATACTAATATTATGATCCATCTAATCCCTCTATTTAATTTAAATATTTATAATTATCATAAATAGAATAATAAATTAATATAAATTATAATAGAAATTTTATTTTAAATTTATATTTATCAATTCAATTTTTATACTTTTCAACGAATCCATCAAACTATATATATTTCTTAATCTTTAGGGTATATTTCTTAAGGATCTGGTTTCAAATGACCATAAATATAAGGGACTATAGCAGTATGTTTTAAATTTAATAAAAATTATTTGTTTTTGTCCCATTATTCTTAATTGATTTCTTTGATAATTAATATGTATTTAATTAATTCTTATACTTCATACTGTGATATTTATTATATATTATCAATAACTTTAATTTTAATGTCTAATAATTTAGATTATTCAATATATCTTTGCTAAAATATAGATTAATGATTTACTTTAAAATAATTCGAAACTTATTTAAGAAACCGAATTTTATTATCTACATCTTTTATTTCATCAGAGAATGCGACAAAAATAATTTTGCTGCTTTATTTTTCTTAAAATATATTCAATAATTTCTTAAGAATAAATTATGTTTCTTCAATTTTAACCACATCTTCCTCTTACCATTAAACTTTATTTTTTTATATTTAATCGCCTTCATCGATAAAATTAAAAATCATCTAATTTTGATCCCCAAACAACTTAAATGTCTTTGATGATCTGTGCTCAATTTCTAATAATGGTTTTGTTAAATAATCCTAAAAATCATCAGGATTAAAAAAAAATATTCTTGCTAATTCACAGCAACATATTTCTAATAAGCCATGTTTTTACTTTGCTACTTAATCTAATCTTTCTAAAAAATTATTTTTTTTATCTTGAAACTACTCTTCCAAAAATTCTGAAATCTTTTTCTTTACTTCACATTGATCATCATCAAGTTTGTGTTATAATTTATCTTATTATAGATTACAACAAGGACTCATTTATTGAAATTCAATTAGTTGATTTTTTAAATCTAGATACTTTGATTTTTTAAACAATTTTAGGCACATTTTATTATGTTCATGAGATCTACAAATTTAGTAGTCATCCTTCCCAAGAACGTTTTCAACTTACTTACTAGCCTCTACATGGCATTCTCTAAAAGTTAAATTCTATAGTAATTTCTCATAAAAGCATTAGAAATATAAATTTGCTGCTTTCTCTTCTAATTTTAAATTTTTTTTAATTGCTATAGTTGGATAGCCATAATCATGAAATATTTCAGCCATCTTTCCAGAATGGCAACAACTTAAAAAAACTAATGCTCTTTTTAATAATGGCTAATTCAAAATTTAAGAAAAATCTGTTTCTTTTACTTTCTCTTCACAAAAATTTGGAATATCCTCCAAATCCTTCTCATATTCTAAATATGTCTCAGACGTATTATCAATGAAACATCCATGACAAATAATATATATTATTTTTGGATTTTACCTCAAAACTTTAAGTAAATTATGTTTAGTTGCTTGTGTAATATAATAGGAAATCTTTTTATTTAGTTTTTTCATAAGATTTAAAAATTATATTATCTCTTCATTAAATTTTACAGGTTCATAATCTACTTCCACTGGATGACTATATAATATAGCGATTTCAGATTTCTAATTTTGAGAATAATCTTAATCCTTGATTATTTTAATTTCTTCATTTAGTTATTTTAGTATTTGCGAATCTTATTCTAAATTAATATATAATTTCTATATATCTTATTCTAATTTAGATAACTTATTCTTATTTTTCTCTAAATCCGAATATAATTGAATTAATTAAATTCTATCAATTTTCAAGTACAATCTAACCAATAATGGTTTTTACACATCACAAAATTCAAAATTAAGAAATATAAAATTTAAATCATCTTTTAATAATTTATTCAAGTCATAAAATGTTTTAGTATTAGGATTATAAAAAGCTATATTCATATAGATGAATTCTCTTACAAAATATAAATTTTCCTTTTATCCCTAAGAATAGATATTTTGTTTTGATTTGAACATAATTTTCTAATCTTGATAGAATAATTCCTTAACTTGATCCGATTTAATTCAAAGGAAAATCTGGTGGGTTTTCCTTTTCAATAAAGGCCTCAGTATCCAAAAAATAATTCTATTCATCAAATTTTTTCAACCCAAATAAAATGATTTTAATTTTTTTAGGATTCCTCATTATATAGAAAATATTAATAATTATAATGAATTCCTAATTAAAATTTAAATACTTATTACATAAACAAATATATAATGGATATTAATAAATCATTCATCTATAAATATACAAATTCTATTAAAGTCAAGAAGTAATATGTATAATTGATTAGTAGAGTATTTTAGATTAAATAAATTATAAAGATAATAATTAGTATTTAAAAAAATTGATTTTTAATTAATAAATTAAAAAATTAGAATCAATGATTTTTATATTACTTCATTAAATTTAAATTAATGCTTTCTTATTTTATTTGAATATAGGATATTAGTCGATAAAAAGTGTAAAATGTAATTAAAAGTATATGTGTTTTGATCTATTATTTATATGATTGAAAGTTTTCTTAAAATTATCAAATTAATGTTTTTTTATTTTTAGATATCAAAAATTCAATTTATTACAACAATCACTTCTTTTTTCTCTTTTTTTACTTCACTTTAATAATAAATATAATTCTCTGAGTCAAATTATGTGTCAATACTAAAAAATAGATTAAAATGATTCTATTTTTAGTTCTTTGGTCATTTGCTAAATACTTTAGCATATCAGATTTCCTAATGAACCATTTAAATTTTATCTACAAAAAAATTAAAATAGAAAATGAATTATTTAATTGAATTTAGAAAGCAATACAATCCATAAAAAAAAGGATTAGTTAACGAATTGAGCAAAAATTAATTTTAAAGAGAGCGTTTTCAATATTAAATGTTTTATTTTATAATTTATATTATTAATTTGGGTGTTTAGTTGTTAAAAATAAAGATAAAATTAAAGACTTATCCCAAAATTCTGAATTTTTTGACCAATTTAGAATAAATAAAGCATTTAAGTTGGATTGGTAAATATGGATAACATATCAACGGGAAAAAACATTTAGAATTTTGGGATATTTTATACAGAAAATATAAAAGGAACATTTTAACTTGTTGCATAAATTAAATTGATTATTTTTAAGTGGTTTGGCTCTTATGATGAAAATTGTAGTGGTAATAAAATTGGGTAGTGGATTGAGTTAAGCGATGAGTTTAAGTGGAGATAAGAGGTCACTAATCATGGTATATATAAAAATAGAAATAAGATTGGCAAGTGTCATATATCTTATAATAAGGATGATTAAGATAATATATGTAAATTTATGTAAAATTGTCTAAATGTAGAATTTATTTAGTGATGGTCGATCATACCATGAAGGCAGTAATGGCACCAAGATTGAAAAGTGGAATGAATTAAACGATGAATTTGGGCAGAGATGAAAAGTCATTCGTAATGGTGAATATGAAAATGGTGAAAAAGTTGGTAATCAGAAGGTGTTACTTTTGCAGTTAAATTATATATTTTTGATATTTTTTGTGTATATTTGGAAGTTTGGTTATGATTCAAATCAGTCTTGAAGAATGTACTCTATTTTTTTTTAATTTATTTAGATTGGTGATATTCAACACAAAAGATTCAGATGATTATGTCTTTTGATGATAGCCAGAACATTTAAGTTGGAATATCGAAATTATTTATCAACATATAATTCAGAATTTAAAAATTTGTAAATCTTCAATATCTTAACATTTTGTGTTTAGCCAATACATAAATTAAATTCATTTGATTTAACTGATAAGTAAATTAAGAACACACCCAAACAATCAGAAATAATTTAAGCCAAAATAGATCTGTGCAATTCTTAAATATAATTATATATTTAGTGTTTACACCGATGTGATTACTGATTATTAAATGAGATTACTACGAACTTGGAGAATTATTGAAACAAGTATTAATATTTATGCTATTTAATTCAGAAGAATAATGTAAATTAACAGAAATGATTGATTTAAGTAATTTATTCTTGCTGTGTAATTGTTTCAATCTAGCCTAAATATATAAAGAGATTCTTAATTCTAATATTATTACGCTCTTTTTCGTCAAAGCTAAATTAATTATTTTGTTAATTAAATATTTATTTATATAAAAATGAATAGTTAATTGAAGAGACTGAACTTAGAAAATGAATAAATCTAATAAAATTACTCTATTTATACAATAAATTCCTCTACCATTAATCATCCTTCCAAACATATACAAAATGAATAATTATACTACACGTTGTTAAATAACAAGAAAATATATTATTAATTCAATAATTTAATAACTATTAAAATATATATATAAAATTGTTATTTATTAAGTTTAATATTAAGAAATTAAATTGAAAAATATAGATGGTTTAAATGTTGCAATTAAGAATTAAAGGATTATTTCACTCTATATATTTATTGAAATTCCTAAGATCTTATTTATAATTTAAATTTTATTGCTTCAAAAAAAATTTAACTGATGCTCTAAATCTGAAAAGATTAAATATTCTTATTAATACCTGAGCTAAGATAAATAAAAATATAAATTTTATCACTTAATTCATTCTTTTATTTATAATAATTTGTTGGTTTTATGTTTTAAATCTTTTATTATGTTTTTTTTGGAGTGGCAAATCATAGGTTTGAATATGGATTTGTCGATCACTTTAGCTACAAAGCAAATACAAATTTAATTTTATACTTAAGTTAAACCCCATTTAGAGAAGAAGAATATTATATTCCTTTTTATTAGTAGTTCAAATAAGTACCAGATGTGTACTTAAATATTGTAAAGCTTGATTTGGAATATACATTTCCTTAAGGATATTCGTTAGATATAATCAGTGTCAGCAAAGTAGGTGATAGCTCTTAATTTATTTTATAGGATTTAAAATAAAGATAGTCTGTGAGAGTCCAGAACGATTTTATCGAGTTGAATTTAACTGGTTTGCTTTCGATGATGAAAGAGTCTAAGTTATAAACAATTTTAATATAACTAATCCAAAATCTTCATACATTCATACTTACTAAAAAGATTGTAAAATTAATATTGTAATCTCCAATTTTGTTAGTTTTTATGCTTTAGGTTCTTAATTTAATAATTTGACTGTATATAAAATATATAATTTAGGGATTAATATTAACACCTGAGACTGTGACTATAAGTTTTTATATAGAAAACCTTAAATAAATTGGATATCAAATATTATTGAGTAGATCAGATATTTTTTTAATTGGCCCAATTATAACAAGCATTTAACCTGATGGATCAAGTTAAGTTGTTAATTTTCCATCTGGATGGGGTATATAAAATTGTTATTTAAATCTTTTGGGATTTAAACATGATGGATCTGATTTAAATATTAGATTATTGGCATTAGTTACATATTAATCTCAAATTACTGTTGGATTTTATCCATGTAATTAATTATCATTATTTTTAGGGGGTCCAACTATCATTTTATCAATCTAATATAATCATTTTTGCATTAATGATCCATATTTTGAATTAGCTATTTTCAAAGGCTTGATGTAATCTAGATTTTTTGATCCATTAGATTAAATAACTACTCATACAGAAATTTAGGAATTAAACTACTTTTAAAATAAATTTTTTGAAGAATAAGTTAAGATAGCAAAAGAGATTGAATCTATAAAGATTATATTTTATTGGAAATGCTTAGATAAGGAGGTATTAAATGTAACAATATTTTGTACTGATGAATGGTGTACTTAGGCTACAATAAAATGCGATATGAAGAAAATTAATATATTAAGATTATAAGCAAAATTTTCATTAAACTAAATTTCAGAGCAATATATTAAGATAGCTAAGACTTCAGTTTCACTGTCTGCTTCATAAGTATTTTAAGATAAAAATTCATTTGAATAAGTTTTATTTAAAATAGAAATATAATGATTTATCATCACAAGTTTAATATTAAATAGTTAATATATTATTCTTCATAATTTGAGGAAATTAAAAATTTTAGATTTAATTAATTGATTTAAAAATAAACTAAGGTAAATTAAAATTAATTAATATTATAATATATTTAATTTTAATTAATTAATTATTAAAATTGATTTAATTTTTATAGTAATATATATTATTATTCTAATAATTTTAATTTAATTTAAGGGATTTGTATAATCTTCAATATACGGTACAATATTAGTTTATTGACAAAAATATATTATAGATATCAATTTTCATAAATCACAAAAGGGGTTGGGGTTGGG